CCCCCCCCCTCCCCCGCAATTGCGAGTTTATATCTCACAATTCTGAGAATAAAAAAGTCAGAATTGTGAGTTTTTATCTCGCAATTGTGATTTTAAATCTCACAATTCTGACTTTATAGCTCGCAATTGTGAGTTTATATCACGCAATTCTGAGAGGTCAGAATTCTGACTTTATAACTCGCAATTGCGAGTTTATATCTCACAATTCTGTGATAAAAAGTCAGAATTGTGAGATAAAAAGTCGCAATTACATTTTTTTATTTTTTATTCAGTTATTCATATTAATTTTTTATTCAAACGGCCTTCCATACAAAACAGCCACGACAACTACACACGTGACTTTTTAAAAACATTTTTATTAAACTGAGCACTCATTTTGAAATATCACTAATATTTAATATTATAATATTTAATCCTTCAGTCAATACAACAAAAAATCACAACAATTCCCTATAAATAACAAAATGATGTAACTGTATTGAAACTGGTAAATTAATGTCAGACATCCATTTCAATGTATCATCTGTCTTTGAAGATGAAGATCGATCTGTCTGCCCTTGGCAATTTTTCTGGAAAAAGCAAAAAATAATAATAATAAGTAGGAGAACTTCTAATATACTAGAAAAATATGTAATATTAGCAAACAAGATAATACATTTACCGTATGTTTATCTCAGAGTCCAAGTGGAGTCCGGGAGTTCACTGCATAAAACAAGTTAACATGAGAATATTCTGATTGCATGATTCACAATGACTGACCAGTGAATGTTTTAAACATTTTTAAACATTGAAATGTAGCACAAAATACCCATAACTAATCATGAGTTAAGAGAATTATATGTAGTGATTTTTTTATTTTTATGGCAAAAACATTAGTACTATACAGTATGTGTAAGATCTCACTGTAAAATCTCATGTCTGTATGGACAACATTTGTAAACAACACTAGGTTTCAAAAATTATAAAGTTCAGTTGAGGTCCTGCTGTAAACTAGAGACAAGACTTACCTAAGCAACTGGTCCCAAAGAATTTCTGATTCATTTTTAAATGTATAATTAAAATAAAACAATGATTTTTAAAGGTTTTTAAATAAATTTGTATGATTATGTATTGGTTTTGTTACATTTATGACTCTTACGTGTTTAAGGGGGGCAGATTCACAGGACCAATCACAGGCTGCACTGTTGGCTGATGAGTCCCGGCTTGTCCTGCTGGCATCAAAGAGGGCCAAAAAGAGTAGCCAATTGGAGGAAGAGGTGGTACATGGGAGCCGTAGTGATGGTGATGATGGACAACCCCTCCTCTCATTGTTGAATGTTGAAGGTCCTAAACAACATCAAACATGGCACTTATTAATACATATTGTGGAATATCAACATTGTTTAAGCAGAATACAACATCTCTAGATGGTTACCTGCCCTGAATGTGAGGCTAGAGGTGTGATTTGACTGTTGCTTCCTCCTGGGAATATGGCCATTGGCGGAAGAGCCTTCAGCATCATATTGTGCATGATGATCTGGTGCATCTGTGCATTCTGCATGAGCATCAACTCCACCATGTCTGTCATCAGAATAATAAAGTAGAGAACTTTTGGCCTAGCATAAATCTTGAAGTGTAGTTTAAACTCCATTTAGTACTTTATTCTTATCAGCTACTGCATGCAACTTCAATCACAGCTACACTACTGTTCAAGATTTTCTCTGTTTTTAATAGAAGAATCTTATTTTTTAAAGTTTATAGTATTTATTTAAAAATGCAGTCAAAAACAGTCATGTAAAATAATA